GCCTTCCCGCCCCCCCGCAGCCGCCCGGGCCCGCGCCCCTCCCCAGGGTTCCTCCCCGGCCCGACCGGCCTCAGCACCTGCCTCCCGCGCTGTGCCCTGGGCTCCCCGCCGCCGCCTGCTCCCGGACCCCGAAATGACTCGCCGGACCTGCGGGATCGGAGCTCCTGCCCCGAGCGCAGACAGCGAGGAGCGCCCACCCCGGGCCACAGGACGCCGCTCTAAGTGGAGCGCCGACATGCGACTTATCTTTTGAATCCTCAAAGTTCCAGACTGACCCGGGAACTATTTCCACTCTGCAAACTCGGGTCTCCCCACTCTCGATCGGGTCCCTTCTTAAAGCACCTCACACTGGGGCTCTCATGCCTGGACTGTTATAGAGGGAAGGACCATCTGAAATAGACTTAGGGCTGAATTATTCTCCTGATAAACACGAAACACGTAAAAGGGCCCTCGTGTTAGTAGCCTGCAAAGGTCACTAGAGGCCAGTGTTTGACCTCAGCTCAGACCAGAATTTAAACACTTTTATTGAGGTCCCCACATGCTGTCAGTTTTTACCTCACAGAACTTCACTATGACCTGCTTAGAGGGGAAGGGAGTTAGATGAAGACTTGGGGAAGGCAAGGCCTCCAGCTTGTGGCACTACCCTCTTCCACACCCTGGAAGGAGAGTGCCAACCAAGAACACATGATCTGAGTCCAGACTTCCAGGTGTGAGTTGGTCACCCTGCTAAAGAAAGTGTTTTAGCCTGTTGGGCCTGGTGGCACATACCTTTAATCCCAGCATTCAAGAGTCAGAGGCAGGTGGATCTTTGTGAGTTTGAGGCCAGCCTGGCATGGCAAGTTCCAGGTCACCCAGGCCTATATAGTGAGATCCAGTCTCAAAAGAAATAAAAAAGGAAAAGAAACTGCCTTTGAATTCAGTACAGTGAATGGAAGAAGACAACAGTAATAAGACTGCTTTTAAACCAGGAACCAAACAAGGTGACAGAGTCCCCTTTTAGGGGACCAGGGCAGCAATGAATTTTAGGGACTAGGAACCAGCCACACTGGCAAGCAGGAAGGGGCTGTTGTCCTGAGGGTTTTACAATAGGATGAATAAGAGCTATTTTAGCAAGTGACCCCCTAATTAGCAGGGAAGACTCCCTTGGAACTGGAGCACCAGCAACGGAGGTACCCTGTGACTTTTCTCACTTCTGAGTGAATGGGATTTATGAGACTAGGTCTAGCCAGAAAATGAATGCCTATGATTATCATGGGGGCCTGCCCTTGCAGAGGGAAGCTAGTTCAAGGCTTTATCTTTGAGGACAAAGAGGACAGGAGAGAGCTGTCTAAACAGGCATAGCAACTCTAGGTCTGCTTTGTCAAGTTACACATAGGCTCAATTCCTTTTTCCCTCTAGCGAAATGTAAGTTCGGGGGTATGTGAGAGGCTGAGGGCAGGCCTGGTCCAGGTGACCTAGATCATCCCAGAAAGTGACCTGGGATGGAACCAGAATGTAACCTGCTTACTTCATGACTCCTCACCACCAGGACATTTAGGGAGGCAGACCTCTAACCTGAAGCCTGGAATGAGTCCACAGGGTCACTTTGCTCAGACCCTGACTGTCAAACCAGAGTTAAAGGAGGTGATAGATGGCAGCAGCCCCATCCCAATGTCCATCAAGCCCCATTCTTTCCATGTTGTCCAAGAGGAGTCAAATTGTGGCCTCTGTGGGAAGCTCTGCTCCAGGTAAGACGTTCACCTTGGGCACACAGCATGACCTGGGCCCTGTGCTGGAGAGACGTGGTACGTACGTGAGGAACCGTATCACCTCTGGAAGCAAGGCTGCTGAAAAGGCCTGGTGTTTTATAATGATTGTCACTGTCATGAATGACAATGAATGATTCATTGTCATGAATCATCTGGGAGACAAACCTCTGGGTGGTCTATGAAGGATTTTCTCATTTAGGTTAATTGAGGTGCAGAGACCCACCTAACTGATGGACTGAATAAACAGGAGAAGGCAAGCTGGGCACAGATGTTCATCACTCTCTGCATTCTGACTGTGGGCAGTGTAGTCAGCTACCCCAAGCACTGATGCTGGATAACCAAAATGAACACTTTCTCCTTTAAGTTGCTTTTGTCAGGGTATTTTGATCATAGCTACAGGAAAAGTAGCTAATTCAGAAGGCCACTGACCCCACCCACGTTTTGTTTGCGGTGGCTTGGTGGCATCTCTCACCTCTCCCAAATCAAACATCTCTTTAGTTAGTATGTAAGGTTAAAAAAGAAGAAAAGACAAGTTTGAGGTCAGCCTGGGCTGCAGAGTGAGGTCCTGTCTCAAAAAGAAAGCAAAAGAAGAGAGAGTAGAATGAGAGAAGGAAAACAGAGGAGAAAAGAGGAAATAATATTTGGTCCTATCACTGTTCTAATTACTGAAGACACTGTCCTCAGCCCTTACAGGCCACCAGCCATATTCACGGGTCCCTTCTAAGCCAGAAAGTCCAGAGAAGAAAACACCATATTACTTACTTCCAGCATACAATTGCAAAAAAGAGAAGAATGAGGGCACAGGTAGGAAAAACTGGACCAAACCAAGACTGAAATCCAGTAGGGCAAACACCAAATGATGTAGTTTCATGTCTGGCGTCTGGAGCTCCAAATGAAATGATCTCAGTTCCAAAAGGCTTAGGTATCTCTGCCCCTCCAGTTTTGTTGCCTGCAACATACCTCTCTCTTGGGCTGGTTCCTCTCCCTGTATGCAGCTCTCCTTGGTAGGCATTCCATGACTTTGACATCTCCAACGTCTTGGGGTCTCCTCTGTAACCCAGGCTTCATCTTCACAGCTTCACACAGTGGCCTCTCAGGGATTCCAAACCAACCACATGTTGCCTGGCCTTCCTGGCTCTCTGAAACTATGGAGGAAGAATCCACGTCCCCGCCACCTTTAAAATTAAAAAAAAATTTTTAAGGGGCTAGAGAGATCGCTCAGAGGTTAAAAGCACTGGCTGCTTTTGCAGAGGACCTGGGTTTGTTTTCCAGCACCCACATGGTTGCTACAACTATCTGTAACTCCAGTTCCAGGGGATCTAACACTCTCTTCTGACCTCTGCAGGCATTGCACACTTGTGCACTTACATGCATGCAGGCAATATACTCATACACATAAAATAAAATAAAGAACAAAAATAAAATATTTTAAAAAGAATCCATGACCCCCTCAATCTTGCATCTTTCATACCTCCAAAGTCAGGACCATATAGATGACACTGCCAAGTCCTCTGCCAGCTTGGGATGAAGCCTGGCCCACTGGACCACAATTGTATCAGCTTGTATATGCTGAAGCTGGGGAAAAACTTCCCTAGACAGTTGTTTTTACAGGAGCAGGAAAAGTCTTAGAATCTCTCTTTTCACAAGTTAGAGCCTTTGGTGGGTGGGGTCTTACCCTCAGGGTACCAATTACAGCCTCTTTTCAACATATGTCTTGGCTGTTACCTTAAGCTTCCTGGTGCTCTTTCCTCTCCAAACTATAATTTTTTTTTCTTTCTGCCCCACTTGTTGCTCTTTTTCATCATAAATCTGCATAAGAGTAATCAGTAATAACCATGTCACTGATTCAATGTTTTATTGTCTTGAAATTTCCTCTGCCAAAGAAAAAGAAATTAGTCCATTATTTTTTTAATTCAGCATCAACTGAGCATGGCAGCGCACCCCTTTAATCCCAACAGAGGCCAGTGGATCTCTGTGAGATGAAGGCCAGCCTGGCCTATAGAGAGAGTTCCAGGACAGCTGAAACGGCTTAACAAACAAAACAAATCAGCCTTATACAGGCTCTCAGGACAAGGAAAGAATGTAGCCAGATTTTTGCAGATTCTTTGCAAAGGTATAACCTTAAAAGCCAACTAGGGTTTGTTCCCAGGTCCTTTTCTTTGTCAGATAAAGAGTTGCAGAATGAGAAATTTGCAATCATAGCACACAACCAAGGTTTATTGAGGCATAAGCAACATGCCACACAGCAAAGAGACAGACTCCCTGAATGGGGAGGAGGTCCAGAGCTGGAGCACCATCTACCTCCCTAGAGAGTCTGGACTTTCACATTCTATAGGGTAGAAGGTAGGAGGACTGGGCTCCCTTTCCCTCTTAGGACTGGACAGGGTAGGATGCATGTTGTTGGTTGGTTTATTCATATGAAAGCAGGAACTTGACTGGGTAGAGCAAGGGCAGGAAATTTGAAATTCCCACTAGAGGGGGCCCACCAGTGGAAAGAAAAGCCCACTATAAGAGCCAACTTTGAGCTAGAAACTGGAAGTAGGCCATTTTGGATATAAGTAAAAGTAATTGGAACACAACTGAATATTCTAGGGCCTCCTCTACTGTCTGGGTCCTCTTCCCTTGTTTGGGGGCCTCCTCCCAACTGTCTGCCTAGTTCAGAAATATCTCCTATTCTCCTTCAACCTGAATGGCCTCTAGCCTAGGCCCTGATAGAGTCCTTGTTCCCCTCTGAAACCTCCTGCACCAGGCCTTCACTATCCACATTTTCCTTGGTTTGCTCGTCTCCCAAACTCCTATCGGAGCAATCTATTAGGCTCTACTTATATTCAAGGGCCTTTCTCACCCAAAGTTCCGAATGCTTTTATACTCCTCTTGCAAACCAATTCCAAAAGTCTATGAACCACATGGTCACGTTTATCATAGCAACAACCCCATTCCTGGTACCAATTTCCATCTTGGCTTTTTTTCTATTGCTGTGATAAAATACCCTGACAAAAGCATCTTAAGGGAGAAAGGGTTTATTTTGGCTTATAGTTCCAGAGGGGATTCAGTCATTCTTGTTGGAGAAGGCATGGTGGCGGGAGCATGAGGCCAGCCTAACACCTTGCAT